ATTGAAAAATAACCTCATATAGGTTGAAACAGCTGGGGAGTTACCTAGCAAAATGGAAAATGGAAAGTCTTCCATCATTAGTAAGACAATGGAGAAGGCAACATGGTGAAACTTCTTTTTCTTCTTCACCAAGCTATTGTTTAATTTCCCCATTTTGGGAAACTTCGTCAATGGCAAGTTCCAATATCAAGATATCATCACCACAGTCTGAAACCAAGATAAAATACTGTATTGTTTTAGAAAGCTCGTATAAAGAAAGAAGTAAAACCTCTGTCCAACCAAGTGTTGACACTTAATTTTTTTATGATGAATGATCACATTCAAATTTATTTCTTAACCAAATACACAGAGTAATTAGGTGCAAACATGACAACCTGTGTTGCTCAAACTCCCCAAAAATGACGTCGCACCAGTGTCGGATCCTCCAAAAATGTACTACTTTTAGAGGAACTAACATGCACCTGGCGACATTTTTGATGAGTCCGAACAGCATAGATGACAACTGCAGAGTGCCCATTTGTCTCGATCATCTTCATAGTCCACAAGTTATCCTTCCCTTGTTTAGATTAGACACATTCATTTCACTTCAATCTTCAATAGGGGAAGCCTCAACTAAAATTAACTAAAAGGTCATTAAACTATTAATCATCAACTTTCACTAAAGACTACAATAAAAATCACTCACCCACAAAGGCCAATAAACTCTTTTCAACAATATAACATGATTGATTTTGATAAAGAAAGAAATCAATCATCTTATATTGTTGAAAAGATTTTATTGGCCTCAATGGGTGAACGTCTTTTCTTGGTCTTCTAATTTTTCCATAAATCCAAAATTATTTAGGGCTGTTGAAATAAAAATAGTAACAATACACGAAAGTAAACTTGCAATGCACAAGGAAAGCAAATTATAAATCATTGAGATAAAAGGTTTGACATATGTATCCATAAGAAAGGTTTACATCATTCAGATGAGGAGATTATAGAAACTTTGATTCATTATTTCAAAGCCAATTTGACATCACTCAGTGTTAGGGTTTTGCCCTGATTTTCTTACCATAATTTAAGATTTATTTTCCTTAAAGAAAAGACAAAATATTACCATAAATGTTTTTACTTTTCCTGAAAGGAAAATATAATATTCTTTCATATTTGGTTTATTCTTTCCTCTTAGAAAAAGGTTTTGGAGAAATTAGTTCTTTTCTAGTAGGAAAGGTTTTAGGACTCTATAAATATAGGTTTGTTTCTTCTAACACAAAATCATAACATCCACAATGTAGTCGTTTAAGAGTCTTGTTTATGGGGAGATTTATTCTCTCTAAAGTTTCAATGTTTTTCTTTATATTAGTTTTGATATAATAATATTTTGATTTTTAGTATAAGTTTTTGTTATCTGATTTATCAACTATATGATTTGCAAATTGTAAACTTCCACATGATGTCTTAATTACCCTTCATAACCCAACAAGTGGTATCAGAGCACATGGTTCAAAGATCCGGTGGTCCTATGGTTCAACGAGGTTGAAGAAAGGTTCAAGTGGTTTCAAATCAATTTGCAACAAATTTGATGATAATGAAGATTATTTGTCAAGCTACATGTGGAGAAGAAGTTTCAACCATATTTTCAACATTCTTGTTGCTGCAATTTTTAAGAATAAAAACAAAATATTTTTAATCCATATATTTTAAATTTTATTTTTAACCATGGCAAGCAACAATGATGAAGATTTTGTGAAGAACAAAATTATCATGCAATGAAGAAGACAAATCAAACTTTGTCAAGAAAATCCAGCCAAAAGAGGAGATTTGTTAGGGTTTTGTCCTGATTTTCTTACCATAATTTAAGATTTATTTTCCTTAAAGAAAAGACAAAACATTACCATAAATGTTTTTACTTTTCCTGAAAGGAAAATATAATATTCTTTCATATTTGATTTATTTTTTCCTCTTAGAAAAAGGTTTTGGAGAAATTAGTTCTTTTCTAGTAAGAAAGGTTTTAGGACTCTATAAATATAAATTTGTTTCTTCTAACACAAAACAATAACATCCACAATGTAATCGTTTAAGAGTCTTGTTTATTGAGAGATTTATTCTCTCTAAAGTTTCAATGTTTTTCTTTATATTAGTTTTGATATAATAATATTTTAATTTTTAGTATAAGTTTTTGTTATCTGATTTATCAACTATATGATTTGCAAATTGTAAACTTCTGCATGATGCCCTAATCACCTTCACAACCCAACACTCAGAAGAACAAAAATTGGAAAAAAAAGAGAAATATATTGTGCGAACCAATGAGAGCAATAAATAAAATATTTCTCAAGATGAAATGTTCTTAACCAAAAACACGAGAAAGGAAGAAAGAAGAAAGCAAAATATATTTTCATCTTAACATTGCTGTCCAATTGTAATAGACATTCACTAGCATCATACCTGCAAAAACACTCACATGAAGATATTAATCAGAGAAAAAGAAAAGCTACAAGAATGGGGTATTTTTTGACATTGAGATAGCATAGTGAGTGTGATACACTCATTAATGGCGCATGAAGACGCTTATATTTAGCCAATTTTTAATTTTATTTTTCTCTGCTTCTGCTACACTTCTCAAGCCCCTAACTCCCATCATTTTCCCAAGCTTGAATTCCTTCAATGGAGGTTGGATTTTTTGATTCAAATCTTTTCTCAACCGAAATTTCTTTTTTTTTAGGGTTTTCTTCTTCATTGTCTTGTTTTTTCCAGATCTACCATCATTGCCCTCCACCTTTTTCGCCGGAAAAAATGGATACCGACACCCACATTTTATATACTCTCACTCTCTTCCTCGCTGCCCCCGTCTTCCCACAAAACAACACTTAAACAGGAAAAAAAATCTGAAACAATAAAAAAAATAGATCAGAAAAAAACACACTTTTAAAGTGGGAACGAGGAAAAAGATGTAAAAAGAAAAAAAGATGGGCTTTGAATTAAAGGTGACATTAAGGTGTCAAAATAAATGGGCGGTGACATAAGTCTTAATTATTGAGTGTAGGTGACAATTATGTGATTAATGATTAAGGATTGTAGAGTTGCCCTCAAGTTTATAAGTTGGCAGTTTGGTCCATTGAATTAAATGAGGGGTAAAATGGTAAATGACTAAAACCTAATTTAGCCAATTTTGGTGGGAACCAAAACTGGAGGGAAGCCACCATCGAGTTGTATCAAAAGGGGGGAAATAAAACATTCCCCCCCCCCGCCTTCCATCGTATTCCTCTTCTTATTCTTCTTCTGCTTCGTTCTTGCTTGCTTGCTTGCCTGCTTGCCTTTCTTCCCGTTCTCTTCATCTTCTTATTCTTCTTTTCGTACATTGTTGGTCTTGGCTACTAGTCCTTGAGCTTTCTTCTTCTTCTTTTCATCTTCGTGAATCAGATTTAATTAATCTAATCAGTGGACCGAATTTCATTCTGTATCAATTGAAATTACTTCATAAGTGATTCGATTCACACACCACTATTTTGGTAAGTAAAATTAACAATTCTTTGAAATCATTCATCATCATCTGGGTAGTTGCAATTTTTTCAATAATTTGCATTTGCGTTTCCAACAGATGGCTATATATGTTGTAACAGTTGATTATTGGAACAAATTATAGTCGTATATAGCAACAAAAAGGTTATTTCAATAGCAACAAAATAGTCATATATTGCAACATATGACTTATATATTTTGTCACAACATGTGATTTATGTTTCGCCATAGAATAATTATATGTAGCAACATATGACTTACATTTCGCAACAGAATAGCCATATGTTGCTACATACAACTTACACATGTTGCCACATGTGATTATTTGTCACAACATATTAGTTATATGTAGCAACATATGACTTACATGTCGCCACAAAATAGTCATATGTTGCACCATATGACTTATATATTTTGTCACAACATGTGATTTATGTTTCGCAACAGAATAGTTATATGTAGCAACATATGACTTACATTTCGCAACAGAATAGTCATATGTTGCTACATATAACTTACACATGTTGTCACATGTGATTTCTTTGTCACAACATATCAGTTATATGTAGCAACATATGACTTACATGTCACCACAGAATAAATATATTTTATCATAACATGTGATTTATGTTTCGCAACATAATAGTTATATGTAGCAACATATGACTTACATTTCGCAATATAATAGTCATATGTTGCGACATATAACTTACACATGTTGCCACATGTGATTTATTTGTCACAACATATCAGTTATATGTAGTAACATATGGCGTACATGTCGCCACAGAATAGTCATATGTTACAACATATGACTTATACATTTTGTCACAACATGCAATTTATGTTTCGCAACAGAATAGTTATATGTAGCAACATATGACTTATATTTCGCAACGAAATAGCCATATGTTGCGACATATAACTTACACATGTTGTCATATGTGATTTATTTGTCACAACATATCAGTTATATGTAGAAACATATGACTTACATCTCGCCACATAATAGTCATATGTTGCAACATATGATTTACACATTTCTTCATTAGTACTAATTGTTTTTTAAATTAAGTGCTTCAGGTACAAAAAATGGAGGAATTATTTGTAGGTATTAATTGTCGTGGTGAATGGGTCGAGAAGAAAAATTGATACATCTGACGTTGGAATGATGGTAAGAAACGGGGAGGGTTGGTAGGGATGACTGTCGAACAAAATATTTTGTATGATAATTTTGTGAATTTAGTCATGCAAAAATATGATACAATTGTTAATCGAAAGATCTTGTCATGAGTTACATTCCTCATTTTTTTCATAATGAGAAGGTCTTACCTTTTAAAATAACTGATCAACCTAGTTTGCTTGTTTATTTTGGAGGAGCAGAGAGACCGCCCATATTAAGAGTCTATGTGGATAAAAATCCTATCGAGGAGGATCATAATCTAGAAGAAGAACAACAAGATATGTTAAATGATGAATTTGATGTTGTGAACATGAATAATCACGATGTTGAAATTGGAAAAGATGAAGTGCTGGACTTTGAGAGCAACAATCCTCTTACACCTATTGTTGGCAGCAACATTCCATGTTCTTCTCAATCATCACGTGTGAATAATGTTCGAGATGATGAAACTGGTTTTTATAAGGGAATGACATTCAAGATCAAGGAAGAGCTGGCAGATTCATTGAAAATTGCTTGCTTGAAAAAAGATTTTAGATTGAAAAAGGTGATCAATTCTCGTAATGTGTTTTCTTCTAAATGTTCATATCCAGAGTGCAATTGGTGGCTGAGGGCTGTAAAATTTACAAATAGTGACAGGTTTGTCATTAGAATCTATGAAAAGTACTATATGTGTGGTTTAGAGCATCTTACAAGCCATAATTCCCATGCCATGGTAAAAGTCATAGATAAGTACTTTGAGAATAGGTTTTCCAATGGTAAATGCCAATCCACAAGAGACATGTCAAATCAACTTCGCACAGAATTGGGTTGTAAGGTAAGCTATTGGAAGATTTATAAGGGCATGGAGCATGATACGTCTAATGTTAGGGGAACACAAGAGCACGGGTATGCAGTGCTTAATGCGTACCGTTATATGCTTGAAGTTGCAAATCCAGGAAACAAGACGACATTGTCGCTCGATGAAAATGGGAGGTTCAAGTACTTCTTTGTATCATATGTCGCTTGGATAACTGGTTTTCAAGAAATGAGAAAAATAATAGTCGTTAATGGGACATTCCTGAGGAGCAAGTATGAAGGAGTTTTACTATCGGCGGTGACACAAGATGTTGAGAATCATATATTTCCAATGGCTTTATGTGTTGTGGACAAGGAATGCAATGCCTTATATGAATATTTTTTTCAAAATATGAGAAGCTTTGTAGATGCTACTGATGTTGTGCATTATTTCTGATAGGCATCCAAGTATTCGACTATCTACCCTGTATCTCATTATGGTTGTTGCATGAGACCTTGGAAAAATATTTGAAATAACTTTCACAATTAAAAGGTAGTGTCCCATTTTTATAAAGAAGCAAGGGCGTACGATATATGTGAGTTCAATGACCATTTCAATCAAATAAGAGATTTGGTACCAAAGGCGGCTAAAACTCTTGAACGTATTGGATTCCACACACAGAGCAGAGCATTTTGCCCGAGAAATAGGTACATTATTATCTATACCATCTCGTTTGAGTTTATTGTAATTTTATATGTGTTGATTGATTTTTATTTTTTGTTGTGTAGATATAACATTATGACGTCAAACATCGTGGAGTCGGTGAATTCTATGTTTGATGTTGAAAGAGAATTTCCATTTGCGCTCTATTTGATAAATAAACATGAGATTTGCACTTTTATTTCACCAGAGGCGTATGGAGCTGGTGAACTCTGCTAATAGATTTGTTCTTTCAATTGAAAAAGACATATCAAAGTATGTCAACGCGGGCAACAAGTTGTTGTCTCATCAAATCGCTAACTACAAGGTCAGTGTCACTAGTCATGGTGATGTTGCTACGGTGGATCTACAAAGAAGAACTTGTACTTGTAGAATTTTTGACTTAGACAAAATACCTTGTCCACATGCCATGACAGTGCTTCAAACTCAATATGGTGCCGAATTTGGAAATCAGATTTATGAGTACTCCTGATCTCCATATTATTCAATGAAAAAATACATAATGACATATTGTGAGGAAATTCACCCGGTGCCACCTGAAGATTCTTGGATTGTCCCTTTGGATTTCATAGAGAGAGAAATACCTCCTCCATAAGTTGATCCAAGCAAACCTAGAAGAAGGAGATATAAGAGACGCCGTGAAGTTAGTGAATCATTTCCAACAAGAAAAAATAAGTGTTCTGTATGTAGGGACTTTGGCCACAAAAGAATTACATGCCCAACTCGAAATGCTCCATAAGTGTTGTTGAATTTTAATTAATGTTCTTTATATTTGAGGATGATGTTCCCTATCTTTTTTTTATCTTAATTTGAATCAACTTACGTTATGTTATTTATATAAATAAAATGTGTGATTTATTTTGAACTGATGCATCTGTTACAACATAGGTCAATTATGTGTTGCTACTTACAACAGAATATTGCATATGTTCCAACATATGATAATTATGTGTTACAAGTACAACAAAATAACGCGTCTGTTCCAAAATATATCAATTATGTATTAGATCTTAAAACATAATATTGCATATGCTCCAACATATGTCAATTATGTGTTACAAGTACATCAGAAAACACATTTGTTCCAACATATTTTTAATAAATAATTACGTGTAAGGTGTGTGAACCATCAATCAATCATTACTGTCATTGGAACAACTTTCAAAAAAAAATTAATTACAACTCTTCATATTTTACCCCTTTTTCAAAAAAATAAGTACTTTCATTTGAAAAGTCAAAAGTTGTGCCTCTTCTCTTCTCTTCTCTTTGTCTTCAGAAGTTGCAACTTTTCACATATTCCTAGCATTATATAAGAACACAACAACATAAGGTCCTTTCATTTAATTTTCTTCAAGATTTCCGGAAAGGAAGAAGAATATAACTAGGAGTAAAAAAAACTACATTGAATCTCTTTCGAGGGAACTATTAATTAATATCGTTGAAATGGCTATTTTTTACTCCCTCAAAGATTTAATGAGAGTTAAATTAAGGTATGTATGTATTAATCAATTTTCGCTCTTTAATTTGATTTCCTAACCATTTAATTTGATTTCTCAGTTCCAGGGTCCTCAATCAAGTCGCTAATGAACCTTCTGTATATCAAAAGGTACATTGGTCAACTTTCCTTATCGTAGATGGTCGATAGTTCAAGAAGACATTTATTTCCTAGAAATGTGCAGAGCATCGGGGAATTTAGAAGCCTTATACAGAAAAGGCGTGATAATTTTTAATGTTCTTCGAATATATTCACGTTTTTATAAATGTATTTTGCCTTTTAAATGTGTTATTTCTTTTGTAGTTTGATTTTTTTAACCGTAACGATCCAACTGCATTGGGAATGATTAATCAAGCAGCAGAAAATGGCCACATTGGTGCATCCTATGTATTTGCCATAATTTCAATATTTAATGGCGGTGAATCCATGAGAGAAAGTTTAATGTTCATTGCCAACATGAAAAAAATGGAGCCACTAAAAGTCAGAAGATGTTGACATCATTTGCGAAATATTTTAGGTGGAATGTGGGTGCCAGAACCTCATTTGTTGGGAGGAAGACCCATTTGTTGCACTGTTCATCAATTTGAGCAAATTGATTGCAGGAATGGTTGGCCCATGGAAAGCGACAATTAAGATGATATTTGTTGTGAATTATATAGTTGTGATTTAGAACTATATTATGTAGTTAAATTTCTGTCTTATACCACTGTGTGGTATTAATTAAATTGACATATGTGGCAACATATGTACATAAGGTTGCCTTTTTGTGTTTTGTACTGATTTTTGAATTTGTTCTTTATAAAATGTTTAATCTAAAAATATTTGCCTTTTTGTGTTTTGTACTGATTTTTGAATTTGTTCTTTATAAAATGTTTAATCTAAAAATATTTGCATTTGAAAAGTCAAAAGTGTCTCTTTGTCTTCAAAAGTTGCAACTTTTCACATTCATTACATTGAGATTATATAAGAAGAAGTACACAACGTAGGTCCTTTCATTTAATTTTCTTCAAGATGGGAAAGAAGAAGAATAAATCTTCAAAAATGACTATGAGTAAAAAAAACTACATTGAATCCCTTCCGAGGGAACTACTAATTGAAATCGTTGAAAGAGTTGCTTCCTACTCCTTCAAAGATTTAATGAATGTTAAATTAAGGTATGTATGTTTTAATCAATTTTCGCTCTTTAATTTGATTTCCTAACAATTTGATTTGATTTCTCAGTTCTAGGGTCCTCAATCAAGTTGCTAATGAACCTTCTGTATATCAAACGGTAACATTTGTTGACTTTATTGAATATATATGGTTGTGTAAACCTTGGTCAGTTGTTCGAAAATGCACTTCTTTCCTGGAAATGTGCAGAGCATCGGGGAATTTAGAAGCCTTATACAGAAAAGACGTGGTAATTTTTAATGTTCTTCGCATCTATTCATGTTTTTATCAATGTATTCTGCCTTTTAAATGTGTTATTTCTTCTGTAGGTTGATTATTTCCACAATAGCGATCCAAATGGATTGGAAATGCTTAATCAAGCAGTAGACGGAGGTGACATTGGTGCATCCTATGTGCTTGCCATAATTTCAATCTTCAAGGGCGGTGAATTCATGAGAGAAGGCATAATGTTCATTGCCAACATGAGAAAAACGAAGTCACTAAAACTCAGAAGATATCGACAAAAGTTGCGATATATTTTATTTGGAAGGGTGCCAGAACATCATTTGTTGGGAGAAAGACCAATTTGTTGCATTGTTCATCAACTCTATCACTTTTCGTCATTGTGAATTATGTAGTTGTGATTTAGAAATAGATGAAGTAGTTAAATTTCTGTATTAATTTCTGAATTTTTGTTTTGTACTAATTTCTGAATTTGTTCTTTATAAAATGTTTCATCCTTGAAGTGTCATATGTGGCAACATATGCACGTTCTGTTGAAAAAATTGCAACAGACATGTCATATGTGGCAACATATGTATATCATAAAATGGTCTTTTTGGGGCTAAGTCAATATAATTGTCACTTAATTCAACATGTAACACTAATATATAGTCATACAACATGTATAAGTACAAAATTATGGTCTAATACAACAACCTTCATTCAATTCTATCAATTATTTTTACAAATACTATCATCCCACTAGTTCATCATACATTGACCAAGTAACTCCATATGATAGTTATATAACACCCTTGTAAATCGTTATTCCAAGTGTTATAGCATATTTTTATTACCTAATTATGGTACAAAGTAGTAAAATTTGGTCCAATTTGATATTTTTCCATTCCTAAATCGCTCAGTTTATCGATCAACCCATCCTTGAAGTGTCATATCTGGCAACATATGCACGTTCTATTGAAAAAATTGCAACAGACATGTCATATATGACAACATATGCATATCATAAAATGCTCTTTTGGGGGTTAATTCAATTAAATTGTCACCTAATTCAACATGTAACACTAATATATAGTCCTACAACATGTCTAAGTACAAAATTATGGTCTAATACAACAACCTTCATTCAATTCTATCAATTATTTTTACAAAGACTATCATCCCACTAGTTCATCATACAATAACCAAGTAACTCCATATGATAGTTATATAACACCCTTGTAAATCATTGTTTCAGGTGTTATAGCATATTTTTATTACTTAATTATGGTCCAAAGTACTAAAATTTGGTCTAATTTGACAATTTTCCATTCCTAAATCACTCAATTTATCGATCAACCCATCCTTGAAGTGTCATATCTGGCAACATATGCACGTTCTGTTGAAAAAATTGCAACAGACATGTCATATGTGGCAACATATGTATATCATAAAATGGTCTTTTGGGGGTTAATTCAATTAAATTGTAACCTAATTCCTCTCTATTAATGGTGATACTACTTGCATGTACACATAATTGACATATGTTGTAACAACTTAAAAAACGTAAGTACTTTATAAAAGTCATAGGCAAGCCCAACCTCTAAAACTGGCCCAATCGGTCAATTATTTCATTTCTAGAAGGGATATATATATAAATTAGGGTTTTCATTTTCATTTCAAGAATAGGGTTTTCATTTTCTTCCTCGTCGCTTCGGTTTCTCTCCGCTTCGCGCTTCTCTCTCTCTTCGCATGGATCTCAGATCTCTAGACTGCATGGGATATAATGATGTTATTTACTTCATCAGTCTTTTTTCTCTCAATTTTTTCTGTTCTTTGTTTTTTAACACGCAATTAATTTGATTGGCCT